TTTATGCGTTTTGTGCTGTGTAACAGCAGTACAAAACGCATATTGTCATGGGGCTGTCTGTGTGTGTTTGTGTGTGTGTGTGTGTTCTAGCGCGTTTTGTCCCGTACTTATAACTCGGGAACCACAAAAGCTAGGAAGCTGAAAATTTAGGGAACCCATGTGTGACCCCGCAAATTTAAATTCAACCTCCCTGTACCCGCGGTTAACAGGTACAGCCCAGTAAAAGTTTGGGCGGGTTAAGTTATTATCACAGGAACCACGGAAGCTATAAGACTGAAATTTTGTGGGCATGTCCCTTGCCCACGCTCGACCTTGCCTGCTCAAATTCAGCGTTCCCGTGCCCTCGGGTGTAACCTACGGTCTCGTGAAAGTTTTTACGGGTAAATTATTATCTAGAGAACCACGGAATCTATAAAGCTGTAATTTTGCGGTAATGACCCCTTGCCCACGCTCGATCTTGCCTATTCAAATTCAGCGTTCCCGCGCTCTCGGTTATCATCTACGGCCTCGTGAAAATTTTTGCGAGGAAATTATTATCTCGGGGACCATAAAAGCCAGGGAGCTGAAATTTTATGGTAATCTCTTCTGTCCACGTACAGTCCTGCAATTTTAAATTCAGCCTCCTGCGTGTCCGAGTATCACTTACGGCCCGTGAAAGTTTAGATGGAGAAAATTAATATCTCGGGGACCCCGGAATTTGGGAATCTGAAATTTTAGGGTGGTCTCCTCTACAAACGTGCGACTTCGCAAGTTTGGATCCAGTCTTCACGCACTCCTGGTATCATATACAACCCTGTAAAAGTTTTGTTAGAGAAATTGTTATCTCATGTGCACGAAATTTTTAGTGGGAAATTCCGCAACTTAAGAATCAGACAACATTTTAACTATTTTTACACATACCAAAATGCAAAGCAGTGAAAATCTTTAGTAGACAATCATTCGGTGAACGAAGTTGCACAAAACGCATGATCGCACTGGCTACTCTGGCGCGCGTCGCCATTTATAGTCTAATGACATTTCTTCGTCAACATCAAGACAACCAGCATCGTGCTTTACAAATTTTTTAAGGCGATTTAATGCGTTGTTCAATTGACGATTCGTGGATACCTTCCGGAAACGTGATTATGAGTTCACCAACACAGGAGAAAGGTGTGGCACTGGAGCTCGGTCTACGTGTGCGTGACGGCTTCTCGAATCCTTTGCTTTCACTTGATGAGCCGATATTGCCGCATAACCCTATTGCACACATCGCGTTTGATTTTGAGACAAAATGTGCCGATGACAGCTGCGCTCTCTATTTTATTGAAGTAGGTTTGGTTTGTTTGAGAATGTTACTTTTAACAATACAACAAAGACGAAAACTTCAAATTCCGACTTTTGACTTTAAATTTTTTCAATGCTAGCAGTTGCTTACTTTTGGAATGTACACTCACTGTCGCCTTATAGGACGCTTCATCGGACTCGTACTATCGCATTATCGCTGATTTTAGTGGAACTCAGCGGTATCAGTCATATTTTTTTCCGATTATTTCAGCAAGTCCAACGCAGTTTCTCTTTGTTTTTATAAGGTATACATTTTGACAGATGTGAGTGGGAATGAAAGGTGGGACATGTAAGTACTGTCTCATTTATCTCTTTAAATTTCCCTGCGGTTTTTATGCGTTTTTGCTGTGCAGGGCTATAGCAGCTATAGCGCTGCTACAGCCAGCAAAAACGCATATAGTCGAGAGGCTGTCTGTGTGTGTGTGTTCGCAAAGCGAGTGCATTTTGTCACCCACTTTCAACTCG